AGCATTTTTTTCTCTATCAGACTATATAGAAAGAAAGTTTCTTAAAGCCTACTATAGGGTATTAAAGTGTCACTGCCAGTACTTTTGGTATGCCCTAAGTACATTTTAGAAAAAATAAATGATTATTTATTTCGAAATGCTTATAATATTTAGTGTCCATGTTGATAGAATAAAAATACAAAACTAAAAATTTCGATAATTATTTCCATCTTCAATTGATGTCGAGTTATTCTCACACTGTGTACTCTTCGTTATCAGTATTGAATTGCTGGTCTTTTAAAATAGAACCAGTTTAATAATCTTATGATACTAAAATGATTGAATATGTCGTAAGGGTGTACAGCAGTGTCACATATCTAGAATCTCGGGCATGCTGGAGAAGTGTAGGGAGATGCGAGAGAAGTGCAATCTAGGGAGATGCAAGAGAAGTGTAGGGAGATGTGAGAGAAATGTGAGGAGTTGCGGGAGAAGTGTGGGGAGATGCGTGAGGATATGTGAGAGAAGTGTGGGGACATGTGGGAGAAGTGTAGAGAGATGTTGGAGAAGTGCGGGAGATGTGAGAGAAGTGTGAAAAGATGTGGGAGAAGTGTGGGGAGATGCGGGATAAGTGTGGGAAGATGTGAGAGAAGTGTGGGGAGATGTACGAGAAGTGTAGGGAAATGCGAGAGAACTATGGGCAGATGTGGAAGAAGTGCGGGAGAAGTGTGGAGAGGGTGTGGCTGTGGCTGTGGATGTGGGTGTGACTGTGGATGTGGGTGTGACTGTGGATAGAGTAAAGAAACACTCACACACACACCCTCGCATCTCCAGTAGGGGAGGGAAGTTACCGTTACTACCTAGTTACCGAGTAACTAGTAACGCCAAAGTTACTAGTTACTTGGTAACTAGTAACTTTGGCGTTACTAGTTACCAAGTAACGGTAACGCTTTATAGACCCTTACCTGGTGACGTAATATTCGAACATCTTAAGGTATTCGAATATTACGTCGCCAGCTAAGGGTCCATAAAGCGTTACCGTTACTTGGTAACTAGTAACTTTGGAGTTACTAGTTGCTTGGCAACGTAACGGTAACTTCCCTCCCCTAATCTCCAGACACTTCTCTCACATCTCCTACGCACTTCTCCCGCATCTCCTGCACTTCTTCCACATCTATCCATACTTCTCTTGCATCTCCCTACATTTTCCCCACACCTTCAGACACTTCTCTTGCATTTCCCACACTTCTCCCGCATCTCTCCACACTTCTCCCACATCTCTTCACACTTCCCCACATCTCTCCACACTTCTCTCGCGTTTTCCTACACTTCTCCCGCATCTCCCCACACTTCCCCACATCTCTCCACACTTCTCTCGCATTTTCCTACACTTCTCGCACATCTCCCCACACTTCTCTCACATCTCTCCACACTTCTCTCACACATCTCCCCACACTTCTCTCACATCTCTCACACATCTCCCCACACTTCTCTCACATCTCTCCACACTTCTCTCACATCTCTCACACATCTCCCCACACTTCTCTCACATCTCTCCACACTTCTCTCGCATCTCCCCACACTTCTCCAGCATGCCCGAGATTCTGGATATGTGACACCACTCGGGGTGTAGATGTGGAGGATGTAAGTGAGAGCATGTACACAAATCATCTTGATGTTCACATCGCACTCACACTTCATTGCCAGATTCATCATATTCACATCCCTTACTCAGACTCACGCACTACTCATTATGCAAAGTCTCTGAGTCACAATTGGAAGTTGTTTTTAATTAACGCTACACTCGCTTGGAACTTTTCAACGTTTTTTTTTCACATGAGTGGAAATATCCATTGACGTATGTAAGTGTTATTCATCTATTGTGATGACTAATATATGTTATTATATAAAAGAAGAGCAGAATAAGAAAGTTACTTTCCAGTAGGTTCTTGCAAAGGCATCTCACACGTAAGTACCAAAAGAAAAGAACGTGGCTACTGCCATCTTATCGTCGTCTATCAGTGGATCATCCCAGGACGAACAATCCGACAGTGGATCCCATCGGATCCTATCGAATCCTATCCAGATCCTATAGGATTTTATTGGATCCGGGTCACGATCCGACTAACGGATCCATAGTATTGGAATCCGATCGGAATCCGATAGGATACCATAGGAATCTCGTCGGAATCCGACTGCTGGAGTTCCTATCGAATCCGACTGTTGAATTTGATCGGATCTCTGTCGGATTCGATCGGATGTCTCTCGGATTCCAACACTAGGATTTGTTCGTCGGATCGTGACCCGGATTCCGATCGGATTTTGTAGGACTCGTTGGATCCTATAAGATACCATCGGATCCGTGTCGGATTGATTGACCTGGGATGGTCGTGTGCATCTTGCACATATCTAAACCCACAATCAGTCTATCCAACTTGTGAATTATGTGAAACAGATAATACATCAGTAATTGCAGCACCAGTTCCAATCAATTGGCTATGCCATTTTTGTGCTTCTGTTAATCAATTCAATGAGAAGGAATGCAAACTTTGTGGTATTACATCGACTGTTTCATTCTCTAATAAGGTAAATATTGATTTTTATATAGGTGAGTACTATGCTAAACAGAGTCGATTTCTATACAAATCAAAATCACTTGAAATAATTTTGTTTGAATTTTAAGTGAAAAAAATAAAATGTACCATCAGATAATGAATCACAGAAATTTCTTTTAATTTATTGTTTGAAAGTTTTTTCTTAATACTAAAATCTACTCCTGTTGTGAATAATTGTGATTGAGTAATTCTTGGAAATAGGCAAGGAGTAGCATGAATATAATGATTATTTCTTTAGGCAAACCAT